ACCTACACTACGCTACCCGGGAGGGAATGAGCAGCGGGGGCTGCAGCTGAGCACGCCTTGCCCCGGAGGAACCATCCGGTTCGCCCCGAGGGTCGGCGATAAGAGGAAAAAACACAAGATGGCGTTGTCCAGCGTGTAGTGACCTGTCACTGGGAAATGGTCCACGACGCTTACCTTGGAATAAGACTGCTGTCATCTTCTCCTCGGGGAGGAGAACTCACCGGACGACCGGAGGTCGACTGCCGGGCCCAGCATCCTTCACAAGGTTGGTCATTTACACAACTTATCTTCTTTGTTCTTCTGACAGTGCTATATTAGCTCGCTGAAGAAAAAATGGGAGCCGATTTCCCGCTCTTAACGTAATTTATACGGACCGGGTAGGGCCCACACAGCAGGTGGGCGTGGACTAATTTTTTTCAGTGCTTATGCTCTGCATAACGGGATAAACCCACTAAAGCGAAGGCCTTAAAGGGCGAAGCTTATATGACATAGAACTAAGCACTTGGGGAGCAACTGGGGATAGGGTGTCCTGCTCAGAGACACCATGAGATGTGCAATGACTGGGGATCAAACCCGGGACCTTCGGGTCCTGAGTCGGCTGCCCTGCCTCTACACCATCTCGCCCCCCCCAGATGGTGTAATGCCGATGACCGGATATACTGGCTGATAATTTTTGAGCTGTGTCCACCCCCATGAATCTAAATAAACAGCTACTACTAACGTTACTAACACTGATATGTTTTACCTCTACGTTAGATTTATTAAAGTTTTACAAGGCAACACTATGCTAGGTCATCTAAATGTTAGCATGCTAACCTGAGAAGCACGTAGCTAATGACAAGCGGGTTGGAAGATTGAAGAGAATTTATTATTGTTGATTTGTTTTACCGATCAGTTAAAATAAACTCGCCATGCTCTGTTCAGTAAAATACACTACGCAGTATTGCTCGCTGCTTTGACTGTGCTGAAAGTGAAAGTCAAAGTGAACGGCCATGACTTGAAAGTAGTCCACATTCACCCTCTGCTGGATACATTGTACAATTACACCTTTTGCAAGTAAGGACGTGGCTTGTTCCTCGTTTTTATATCTGCACATAACTGGACAATTATCACCGATATGATATGCTTCCAAACGCCTATATCGGCCTAAAATATCGACCCTACCGATATATTGGTCGAGCTCTAGTTGAAATTCTAATGTACCGGTACAGATGTCTGTTTTTAGATTTTCTTTCTTTGTAAATATTAGTGTTTTTGTTTTGCTCATCTTCTTTAAGTTTACAGGTTGACTAAGATTACTTTTTTCTCCACAGGTAAAGTATTTGTCCCTAAGCAGCAGCCAATAGAAACGCGTCAGGAGGATGTCACGAAGCTCGACCCAGAGTTGGAGGAAGCTCTCTCCAGCGCCACAGACACAGAACTGTGCGACCTAGCAGGTAAGGAGTTGACCGCTCTGGACAAAGTGGAGCTGTTTGATTAAAACTCAGTGAGAGTAGTGAGACCAGAAACGAGCTGCGAGGAGCTTGAGTCTGCCTGTTCCGGGTCTTTGCTGGGATGGAAAACTCAACCTCCTCCGTCCCTCAGCGCTGTTATTTACTGACAAAGGAAAAGGCTGACTGAGCAACTAAACACCTCCCATCTGGAGTGTTGTTCTGATGACATCATCTGCCTTCAAGCCAGAATCTCACTCGGCTGCGACTGCTGACTGCTGGTTGGTGAACGTGATCCTGACGGAGTCTTGAATGTCTGTTGAGCAACACGATGGCTCAGTGGTTAGCACTGTCACCTCACAGCAAAAAGGTCCCGGGTTCAGTCCCTGGTTTGGACCTGGGCTCTTTCTGCATGTTCTCTTTGTGTTTGGGTTTCCTCCATCTGCCTTCGGGCCCAGGCAGACCTGAAGAAGAGATCTGTGATGTCAGTGGGACACGCCTGGTGAATTAAAGGTTGATAAATACATTTACTCACAGACGCTGGAGTCCTGTCGCTGGAATTGTAACAGATTCTGGTCCGTTTTCTTTCACGGCGGTCAGAGAGTTTCTACGAGTGTCTTGAACTCTTAATCTAGTTTCTGTAATTCAGGACTATAGCTGTATTTTTTGTGAATCTACTTGTTAAAAGTTTTGCTACAGTATGAAAACCTCGTCTTTAACACCGTGCGCATTGTTTGGACTTGAAAATAAAATGTGCATCGACGTGTTAGTGGTGGAAAACGTCTTGCGGTGCAGAGCTTCTCTTCAGCTTCACAGTTTCTCCCTGATCGAATCAAACTCTGCAGCTGCCGCAGTCCCTGGGTGGGGACGTGGGTCACGGCGTTCAGGGCTGGCCTCACTGGATCAGTGGCAACAATGAGCAGAGTGGTATTTTTACTGCCGCTGATTGAGCAATACTTCACTAAAACCGAAGTTTTATTTACTTTCTAGAATTCCTTCAGTCGGTGTGTAAACAAACACACCCAGACTCGGTGCAGGTGGGCTGAACACAACCTGCCCTGCTTCACTTTTTAGACAAACTTTAAACATTTTAACAATTTATTGCTTGAGATGAAAATTACTGTGAACATCAGGTATTAAAAACCACACAGAAGATCAATAGTAAGGATTAAACCTGGACTGGAACCTGCCGTTCTTCACTTCTGAAGTCCACTGATGCAGATTAAATCTTAACGTGGGGGCTGCTGCCGGAGTGGGGGCTGCTGCCAGGGTGGGGGCAACATGGGCCGAGGTGGCTTGGATGTAGATGGAGGTGTATGGACCAATATTTTTGTTCCATCATATTGAGCTTGCCGTGACGTGAGACTCGCATGAACGTTCAGTTTTAACTGAGCAAACTACGCATGTGCTACTCTGCCCGTTTCCTCGCTTGAGTTGGCACAAAGTATGGAAGGCAGTTTATCATATAATCAGATTACAATCTTTATTTCTATTTACGATTTTAATACAAACTTTTCTCCTGATTATGATATTCTTATCAACTATAATTGAAATTAAAAATATTTTCAATCCCTCCATCCATTATCTTCCTTTTTGGGTCACGGGGGTCACTGGTGCCCATGTCCAGCTACTGTATCACTGTGTGAGAGGCGGGGACAACCTGGACATGTCTCCAGTCCATCACAGGAACATATAGAGACAAACGACCATTCACTTTCTCACTCACACCTAGGGACAATTTAGAGTTACCAATCAGCCTAACATGCACATTTTACCCTAAGAAAACCCACGCATGCATGGAGAGAACATGCAAACTCCACCTAGGGAGGCCCTCGGCAGGGATTTGAACCGGCAACCTTCTTGCTGAAAGGACGACAGCTCTACCAACTGAGCTGCTCATATTTTCAATCCAATTATTACAAATGATCAATATAATAAGATGAATAATTCCAGTTGAATCGTAAAATATAAATTTATAATGTTAAGAAACTCATAAAATGTTGAAGTGGTTACTTAAATTTTAAATGGACAGCCTGGATATCTATTCCAGCTCTCTTGTTTATTATGATTATATAAAATAGTATGAATAACAGTAAAAGTTTCTCTCTAATCATATTAGTTCCTATAAAACATTTCCACATATTTTCAGACTCTGTTTTTCCAAAACATGATGAATTATCTGTTAGTCAGTATTATTATGCAACACAGGGCCAAAAGTCACAAAGTGCTGAACAAACTGAGACTTTTCAAATAAACAACACGAGACTTCTTCTGGAAACTTTACAAACTCTGCTTCTAATGTCAACAGAACAACCTGACAAACAACGTTTTTAGAAACTGAAACTAAAACTCATGACTAAAACTGTGTCTGCCCCTAAGATCTAATATGAGTTTCTGCTGCCAGAGTTCTGTTTTATTCTGACCAGGAACAAATCTGCAGTACTTTTCCACTTTCACCTTTAATTGTTAAATCAATCAGTCAAACTTTTTAAGGGTTTATAGATGTTAAATTTTTTTTTTTTTTTTTGGTGCATTTGGAATGACCTTCAATTTTCAGTATCTACTTGTAATATTGTGATTGTAAATATCTTTAATTTCAATTCCAAGTACAGTAGTCGTTTATTGCTGGGGATCCGTACACTGAAGCCCTGTGTTAATAGTAGTACAAGTAGTAAGTAGTAGTTTATTTTAGTATTGTGTATATAAACCTTCCTAAACTCTTGCAATATTCTAAACAATGTTTCTAAACTTGAAACGCTCTAAAAGAGCACAGAATGTCATGATTTCAGCTCTCAGCCACCTGCAAGCTCTCTTGGCCACGCCCACTTCTCCGCCCTGCATGGAGATCAGCTGATCAGCTGCAGGAGGAAGTTTATCCTGCAGTGTGGGCTGCACAAAGGTGCAGCAGGTGCTAAATAATTTAAAACAATTTATTTTAAATAAAAATTCCATGCCTATCATGCAGCTCATCCATCAATCAGCCAATTGTGTCGTGTCCAATCTTATTTTGAAAAACCGCGATAGAATGAGTCCACGTATAAAGAACCGCGAAGGGACAACTGTATTAAAATGCTGTGACCAGGAGATGTTATAGAAATCCAAAATAGTAAATAGAGGCAGGAGTGTGATTTTGATTATGTAGTAAAACAGCCTGCCGTCGAACGCATCAATCAACCAGATGACGAACGAGCATTTGTGAGAGGTGAGTGTACGCATCGCACACTGTTTGCTCAGCTTCATGTGCACGAGCATCAGTTTCACCGTGCGCTCAGCTTGACATCACAAACGTTACTCCATGGAGGTGAATAATGTGCACGGCCATGAATCCAGTTGTGCACACAAATTAAACATGCTTTTTCTTTTTTTTTTTAATGGTCTGCGCAGACTGCAGCTTCACAGCCTCAGCCCGCTGGTGTCGGTCTCAGAGTTCAGTCAGACTGAAACAGGAAGTTCACGGCTTCACACTGAAGGCTCAGAACTCACCGATATCTGGTTCTGTTCACAGCGATCCTGGGCGTGCACACGCTGGTCACCAGTAACCAGACGTATGATGGAACTGGAAGTAAAGAGGGCTACAACAGTGAGTACTCGCAGGAATTGGACCCAAAACCGAGAGAGGTCAGTATTTTGAGCCGTGCCTTGGTGTGTTCTCCAGATGTGATCAAAGGTGAGAAGATGAACCCAGTGTTCGACGAGCCTCCCAACCCGACCAACGTAGAAGAAACTCTGCAGAGGATAAAATCCAACGACGGCTCCTTAACGGACGTCAACCTCAACAACATCAAGGTACGTCAACACCGGCTGTCTGGGTGGAGCTGTGCTCCTTAACACTTTCACCGACGCCAGCGTTTCTTGGTGTCCCAGAACATTCCCATCCCCACGCTGAAGGACTTCGCCAAAGCCATGGAGAAGAACACGCACGTGAAGAAGTTCAGCCTGGCAGCGACGCGGAGCAACGACCCCGTGGCTGTGGTGAGGCGCTGTGCTTTGTGGGCAGTTAGTGGACACGCTGCAGCTTCGTATTTACGCCTCCTCCTCCTGCCAGGCGTTCAGCGACATGCTGCGAGAGAACAAGACGCTGCGGAGTTTGAACCTGGAGTCGAACTTCATCACGGGAGTCGGAGCGCAGGCGTTGGTCGAGGCGCTGCGGGACAACGACACGCTCACAGAGATCAAGATCGACAACCAGGTTCACAAACGTTTCTGATGTTTTTCAGCTCGTAGCTGTTTTTGTTCTACTTCAACAGTTTGTCTTAAAACGTTCAGCTCATTCAGGACCTTCCTGCTGGGACCTCTGGTGTTTGTGCACTTCTTTCTTTTTGAATATTTAGCTTTTTCAGCCGTGTTTTCCCTCACTGAAAATGAATGGAGCTGTCTTCATTCGTGTCTTTCAAGCGCTTTAGCTGTTTACTACCGTTTACTGCTCATTTCAGCTTCTGCTCTGCTTCAACTTTTTTTTAGCTTCTTTCTGCTCGAATTTTTCAGCTATTTTTTCTTTTAGCTAGATTTCTTCTAATTTGAGCTTTTTGTGTTTTTCTTCTGCTACTTTGTAACAAATTTTTTTTTTTTAATGCTCATTTCAGCATCCTCCTGCCAATATCAGCATTTTGGGTATTTTCAGCTACTCTTCTGCTAATTTCAGAAGTTTTTGTCTCGTTTTTTTTGCACCTTTTGGCTTTCTTTTCCTGTTGTTGTTATAATATTTTAATTTTAAATTTTATTAAATTTTATTTTAAATGTTTAAAATCAAAACTAAATAGGGGAGTGGTGGCGCAGAGGTTAGAGAAGGTGGGCCTGTGATCGGAAAATCGCTGGTTCAACTCCCTTTACCTACATGAAAATGTGGTGGGAAATGTGAAGCACCCACACCTGCCTTCACCCTCATTTGCCCCACTCTGGGCCCTTGAGCAAGGCCCTTAAACCACACCATCTGCTCCCCTGGGTGCCCTAGATGGCAGCTCCCTGCTCCACACAGAGGGCTGTTGTAGCTCGGTGGTCTGTGGTTGAGTCAGGAAGGACATCTAGTGTAAAAACAAATGTCAAGTGTTTGTGCGAGTCAGTTTGCTGTGGCGACTCCTGAAGAAGGGAGCAGCCGAAAGAAGAAAAAAAACCCCATCAAGGCTTAAATTTTATTTGAAAGACAAAATGTAACAGTAAATTTAATATAATGTCAACTAAAACTCAAGAGTCGACCGACCGTTTTATTTATATTTATTTAAAGTTTATGCTGTAAATTTTTTTCTGTTTTGTGTGACGTAACTCGCGACGTCAGAAATGAATTAGCAGCATGTTGGCTTTTTGAAAGTGTTTCTAAACAGCGAGCAGCCGAATGGCGGGAACGGTGGGTGTTTTTTTTTTTTCTCGTGCCTGTTGGAGATGGGCCGACTCAGAAATGTGAGAGAACAAACACTGAATGAGTCGTGGGGCTGTGTTTTTAAAAAAACCCTGTCCAGTTCTGTGTGCATGGCTTGTAAAACTGTATCCAGAGCCGTGCACGTTGTTTTGTTATCTCAACCCCACTCCTGCTCTACACTACGAGCCTGTGTGGCTCAAACGTGGAAATTGCAAACTGTGAATGTTGGGAAACGTTTTGGAGACTCCCCCATGAACTTTGTTGGCCAACTTGTCACGGCTCGGTGAGAGACCGGCCTCTTCTGAGTCATGTGAGGACACTGAACATTTTTCTCCTGTTTCCTGCATCATTCTGAACAGATTCAGCTTTTATAAAAACCCAAATGGTCATGCTAAGAACACGTGTGCAGGTTTTACCTGCTGGGGTTGTCACAGCGGCCATATCTTGTCTATTGATGAACTTCAGGAAGAATAACTCGACACAAAACTCTGAGAGGTCCCAGCTGTGAGAAGGGAAGTTGTATTTCTTCATTGTGGTCTGAGAGTTCATCGTCTGTTCCTCAGAAGAAAGTCCCGACTCTGACGTTGACCGGAGTGTCTGTGTGTCCCTCAGAGGCAGCAGCTGGGAACATCTGTAGAGATGGAGATCGCTAAAATGTTGGAGGAGAACAAAACCATTGTGAAGTTTGGCTACCACTTCACTCAGCAAGGACCTCGGTCCAGGGCTGCTGCCGCCATCACCAAGAACAACGACCTCGGTAACACACACACAAACACACACATACACACGCACACCAGCTGTAATGTGTCGTTTATTTGGGAGCATCCTGGCGGCTCTCTGTGGCTTCACCACCTCTCCTCTCTCTTGTAGCTCCGCCCCCTGTCAGAGCTGCGGTAGCACAGGTCTGATGCATGAGTGTGTGCAGACTTAACAGACTTCTTTCACAGCGTTTGAACCGAGCTTTCACTGCTTTAACACTCTGAAACCCGACACCGTGTGAGAGTGGCGACATGTTGGTTTGTGTTCGTGTCGACACACGCTGCTGATCCGAACGCTGACCACGTCAGAACTTTCTTCAACAGCAGCGTGAACAAATCAAGACTTCCTCGCATGTTTTCTCATTTTAATGCTGCTCAGTCAGTTTAATAAATCATAAACAGGCTTATACATGGTACCCACAAGGACCAGGCTGTACTAAAGTATGTACCTGGTACTTAATGGGGATGTAATGGTCACCCTATGGGTACTTAACCACTCTGGTACGTACCTGGTACTTAACGAGTACAAAATGGGTTAGAAACTGACCAGGCTGTAGTATAATGACTACAATAACTTGTTACCCAGTACACACTGGTAACTTACTCAGTTTATATCTGGAATTTAACATTTTAGTATCTGGTGCATACTTTATTCATACCCACTAAGTACCAGGTACCTACAGGAGATTGGACAGTTATATGCCTCGTACTTTATAGGTATGTTATAGTCATTTAACAGGAATGTACCTGGTGGTAACTAGGTACATAATGGGTTTTGTAGCTGAAACGTACTTCATGCGTACCCACTAAGTACCAGGAACCAACAGGAGACCAGGCTGTCTTACAGAGTGACTCATTGCACTGTACTTATTGTGTACTTGATGGGTATATACCGGGCTTGTATGGAGTACTTAACAAGTACGTAACCGGCAAGTACCTGGTATGTACCTGCTATTGAATACTAGATGCTGTATCGGGTACATACCAAGTACTTTCCCACCTGTTTTGTGTGTTACTACAAAAGAAAATGTATTTTTATAAATTTTTTTCATTCCAGTCCGTCGGAGGCGGGTGGAGGGGGATTTGTAGAGACGGAGCGCGGCGTTTCTCCGAGCCAATCCTGCATTTCATCTCATGGTGCCACCGCCGCTGCCCCGGTCTCATCTTGCCGTGTGGAAACTGTCGTCCTGTGCCAAACTGCGGGGCAAGGTGCGTTCCACCTGCAGACGCATCTGAGAAGAACGGATCAAACTGGAACCGCCCTCCCCCTCGCTCCCTCTTTGTTCTTAAGTTGTCCTTGAAGGTGTACATCTCTTTAGGTTTTAGTCATTTTCATTTCCTGTTTTGAGCCTTCGTGTTTCCTGTCCGCACGTTTTACGTTTTTCATTTTATACAAAGCTTCTAACCATGTGAACTAATCACGACAGCAGCTTCCCTAACTGGTAGAAACGAACAAAGACCCGCGTCTTCGGTTCTGTTTGACGTTGAACCGAAGCAGCAGATGTTCTTTGGCCCAAACGGGTCAGAACCGTTTGCAGGTGGTTTTTATTTGAGCAGGTTAAAGGTTGGTTTGAACCAGAACTGGACCAGCAAATCTTCTAAAACCCATTAATCCACCAGAACCAATAATTAATGTATTCTTTATTCCTCATCGTTTTGACAAATATAACTAGATTAGTTAGAAAACATTAGATCCTGTTGATACGTTAAAGTTTTCTGATGCTCGGTTTATGCCAAAGACCAACACAAACGGTGCAGGAGTGTCAGTCATCGTCTTTGAGTTTCGCTCCGTATGACAGATCTAAAAAAGACGTTTACAGATTTCTGCTCCATCATGCTTTGACCTTTAATTTGTATCTCACTTGGCTGCGACGAGTCGGAGACACAAAGTTACAAGAAATGACAGAAAGTTTCTCTTGGACTCGCACAGAAAATGTTTTCTTACACGACAACGAAAGAATTGTCACATTCCTGCTCATTTAATCGTCTCACTTTAGTCTCAAAGTGTCTTAATTATGTCTCGGTTTGATCAGGCACCTTGAGTGTCGGGTCCAAACGGGCTCCATGTCTCTAAAACCAGAATCTCACCCTTGTTGGACAGAAGCTGGTGACTAAATATCGTTGGACAATTATGAGAAAATACATCCGTTTTCATTTGATCTTGATAAATTTGTTCTTCTGACGCGTTACAGATAATTCTGTTGCAGAAATGTCTCAACAAGGTTCTGCAGAATTTTGATTTTTGACTGTAGTTTTGTGAGAAAATGGACCCTAAGTACGGGTCTCTGTTCAATTCAGCACCCATTTGGCCTGCGTTGGGACAAAATTCTCATTTTTATGTCCAAACGGTCCCGTGTTGTCGCCACACCCTGGAAACGTCTAGTTTTCAAAGACCGTTCGCTCTTCTGACTTACAGGAGTTATCAAGAAAAGGTCCAGACTCGATCTGCAAATATTTTCAGAACGTCAGTTTTTCTGAATTTTTAGGAGTGTTTAAAGTCAATGCATCAGATCCGAGGCCCTCAGAACACCCGCTAACGTCTCGAGATATTTTGGAGACTCGGTTGCTCTTAGCAACGAGATGCTGCGTAAAGAGAGAGCTGCCGTGAGAGAAAACGAGTTTATCAATTTTCCGTAAACATTGTTTTAAATTTCTGCGACAGGAGCGTGAAGCTCTGTAGCTCATGTGAAGAAACCGAGAACGCCTGCAAACGTTTCGAGACATTTTAGAGACTCTGCAAACGCCGTTTGGAGTTTAACTCCACGTAATGAAATGAACGTTTTTGAAAGAAAATTAATTTAGCGGTTTTAAAAAATATATATATATATATATTTACCCTCGCAGACCTTTTTGAGACATTTTAGAGACTTCTCTCGGATGCTGTTTGGAGTTAGTCTCCAATGGTCATAGCCCAGTTAGAAACCAGCTTTCCTATTGGCCTTTCAAAATAAAAGCTTAGTTAGCAGTTAGACATGCAGAAGTTGAGACTCCTAACTTCTCAGGTCACAGATGAGTTTTAATTTGAACGTTTGGTTCTCAGCAGTCAAATATTAATATTAATAATAATAATAGTGACACTTGGTGTTTATGTAATAAGCTGTTCAGTTCATGAAACCGGCTTCATACGGTTAAAACCGGATTCTTCGGGAGTCACTTGAGCCTTGTAAATGCTGTTTCTGGGAGCATGACGTCGTCACCCTGAACGTTTATATCCGTGCACTTTCCCCACATTTATCTTTGCTGGCTTTTCCTCTTTTTGTTTTTACATTCCTGTTTTTCTTTCTGTTCTTTGGTTAATAAAATGTATATTAACTGTAAAGTGGCATCTCGTGTTGAGCGTATTCACAGGTGGAACTACGAATCACTGCTGAGACTTTTTTATTTTAACTGTAAACCCAGGTGTCAACACAACAAATATATAATATTATTAAAAAAAAACTCAATACTGGTGAAACAAACATGAATAAATGTTTATACATCAACTCTGGCCTTGTTATTTTAATTTCTTTATAAAATGTGTTTTTAATTAGTTTTGATCCTAAAGAACCGATTCAGAACTTCAGGGCTTTAATGAAAACGTAAAAGCAACTCATAAATGTTTCAGTTTAAAATGGATCCAGATGGAAATTAAATCCAGGTCGATTCAAGGAGCAAATTCTTTCAGCAGATTTATCATTTTACACCAAAACAAAAACCCTGAGGAACTTGATGTGGTCCAGATGGACCTGTTAAACCCAGCATCATGTTAAAACCTGCAGGATATCTGGCTCGGTTCTAATCGGATCCAGATCTCAGATTTGTCGAGCTCCGTGCCTGAACGATGATGTAAGACGTACGACTCCATCCTGTGGACTTCCTGTGCCAGAAGGCGTCAGAAGAACCTGGCAGTCGATTCGTGTTTCCACGCAGAGAAGAAGAAAACACCCGGGTTACGTCAGGACCGCTGATCCAACGAGGCTTCACTGGACCCAGAACAAACCAGAAACTGGGAGGAGAACCCACACATGCAACCACAACTGAAGTTTGACTCCTCATGTGGAAAACAGGCCGAATGAGCTTCAGAGCAGTGGCGCCACCAAGGGGGGGCTTAAAAATTGATGCCCCCCCCCTCATTTTGCCCCTCTTAGCCATTTTTATCCTCTTGAGTCCCAAGATTTTGCTTGGTGTGATTTTTATTTTTCTCCTAGCTGTTTAGGATTGGTAGAAGTATTAATATATTGTTATTTTAAATAAAATATGTAGTCCCCCTGAATAAAGACAACTGGTCTTAAACCAGGTTCATGTCCTCAACATCAGGATCAAAATCACATTTCGAAGAGGACAAGCTTAAATACGTTTCAAACTAACACTTAACCTTGAGGTGTCGCAAAGGGACCAAACAACTAAATTTAGCTTTTGATTCTGTAGAGGTCAACCAGTTTGACCCTGAAGGTCAAAGCTGTTCCAACAGGCTGTAATGATCCTCGTTGCAATCATTCCACCTTGCACCTCAATTTGGATGAATGTTGCACATTTTGTTTTTCACATAGAAAATAAAACCTAGGGTTCCTATGACGGGTTGTGGAAATAATATTAATAATAAAGACGTTATTTTAATAGTTAGGCAGCACGGTGGCGCAACTGGTAGAGCTGCTGCCTCTCAGCAAGCAGGTCCTTGGTTCAAACCCCGGTCCAGGGGCCTTTCTGGGTGGAGTTTGCATGTTCTCTCCGTGCATGCGTGGGTTTTCTCCGGGTACTCCGGTTTCCTCCCACAGACCAAAAACATGCATGTTAGGCTGATTGGTAACTCTAAATTGTCCCTAGGTGTGAATGAGAGAGTGAATGTTTGTTTGTCTCGTTTGTCTCTATGTGGCCCTGTGATGGACTTGCGACCTGTCCAGTGTGTAACCCGCCCCTCGCACAGTGATTGCTGGACATGGGCACCAGTGACCCCCGTGACCCAAAGTGGAATAAGCGGGTAAAGATAATGGATGGATGGATGGATTTTAATAGTTAGGCCTGAAGTTGTCGAAAAGCTTTGATGTTGAATGTTGTGTTCGTATTTTTCACATCTTGGTTTCTGAGAGGAATCGTTTTGGGATCTAAAGGGTAAAAAGTTGATATTCATATTTAATAGTTAATAAACATCAACAATCTGTGATATAAAGCAGCAACAATAAATGAAACGAGCTTGAACCAGTTTATGAAGTTTTTCTGATTGACAACGGACGATGGATTATTTCTGAATGAAATCATCTGTAAAACAAAGTGTCCAGCAGAGGTCAGACACAACCTGCTTTACTGAAGATTTCCTTCAGTGAGGTTCCATCCATCAATCATCTTTACCCACTTCTTCCTTTTCGGGTTGCGGGCGGTCACTGGTGCCCATATCCACCAGTCATTGTGTGAGAGGCGGGGGACACCATGGACAGGTCTCAGTCCATCACAGGGACACATAGAGACAAACGAGACAAACAATCATCCACTCTCTCACTCATATCTAGGGACAATTTAGAGTTACCAATCAGTCTAACATGCATGTTTTTGGTCTGTTGGAGAAAACCGGAGTACCCGGAGAAAACCCACGCATGCACGGAGAGAACATGCACACTCCACCCAAAAAGGTCCACGGGCCGGGATTTGAACCAGTGCGACCTCACTGAGAGGCGTCAGCTCTACCAACTGCTCCACCGTGCTGTCCGGTACACAAAAAGCAGGTTTGATGTAAATGTCTTAAACTTTTGCATGAAATGAAATAAAAACTCAGTCGTCTGTTGTCTTTCAAAAATGAGCCGAACAAAAACAGGAAGTTAACCACCAGTCTGAAACCTGTGGGTGTTTCTTGGATGGGGAGGCTGGTGGTTGCCATGGCTACATCATGATTCTCCATGAGTTCGCCCTCATTTCTTTTGATTTTATATTTTATTTTGGGAAAGAACGAGTGAGCGGGCAGAACAATCCTTCTGTCCTGCTGCTGGTGTTGGTTTAAACATCATTTTAGTTGCTTTTTTTTTCTACTTTTTTAAAATCTCTCAGACATGTTCTGCTGTCAAACAAACCTGACTGAAACTGTGGAGTAAATGTCCCATCATGAACACGGAACCAAACTGGAAAGGCGAACGTCTTGAGCCAGAACTCCAGAACGTTCCTGCAGAAAAGCTTCAGCCTGAAGCTCACACAGAACTTTGACAACTCAGAAAACACGCAGACGTGTTGAGGTCTGAACTGTTCAGGAAGAGCGAAAAGAACCATTTTGGTCACCATGGTAACCACCCTGCTGGGTCTCTCACTCCCTGACGAACGAGTTAACGACAAGCAGACTGGAAAGTAAGCCTCAGTCGACAAGTTGGTGCACAAAAATGACGTCACATTTTAAAAATGCTTAAAACTGAGAATCTGGTTTGATTTTTGAAGATATCTGACGCAGCATCTGTGCAACCTGAAGGAGCGGCAGACGTTTGGACATGTAGGAAGGACAGAAAGTCTAGCTTAGATGGCCCAAGGTCATGAGACTAGACTTGAAAGGACCTGATGGACCAAGATCATAAAACTAGACCTGAAGGGACCTGGTGGACCTAAGTCATTAGATTCAACTTTATCAACTTTATGATTCCTTCAGGGAAACTAAACTCATTATCTTTCAGGTGATAAAAAAGCAAATTAAACCATATTAGGTCAAATAATATATTTAACAGTAAATAATACTTTATGAATTACTGGATATTTATAAGGAGGTGGCTGCTACTTCAATCCTCTGTCCTCCTGAGTTCAGCCTCAGTCCTGGACCTCAGATGTCTGTCTCTGAACAGGCGTCTCTGGTTGCTGTGCAGATGGAGACTGGCATCATCCATAATGTCCAGCAGGTTGTCCAGAGACCTCTTCTCCTCCACTTCACCACAGAGCTGGACCGGCTGATCACCTGGTCCAGCCTGGATGGATCTGTCTTGGATATGCTGCCCCATAAATAAGCTCAACTTTCTGCAACCTGGTTCAACTCTGAATGATAAGATAAGATAAGATAAGATAAGATAAGATAAGATAAGATAAGATAAGATAAGATAAGATAAGATA